AAACGTAAACGCCGTGTGACGTCACAGCCGGGAACGTGCCCCGAGGGCAGTTTATGTAAACCACATAAACCGACGTCGTGAACAGCCCGATTGGCATTTGACTGCGTCAATTTTGGTCTCTGAGGCGAAGGAAAGCTGTCATTGATGACTATTTACTGTCTCTTTAGGTATTTCCTAACCGGTGATTAACCTCTGAATTGTAAAACTTTAGCTGTTGTGTAAAATAATATTATCAGAATGGCACATTAATATGCATTATACAACGGTGTTTTCGCAACAAGTTCGCACTAACTACGGCTGCAATAATTTAGTCGCTGTAACATTCCTTGCAATCAGCTGTTGGTGACGCTTCTGACGCATATTTCCAAAAATGCGTGGTTCATTGGTTAGTTGGTTTTTGCTGGGCTTTTGCGGCTTTTGCATGATTTGTTTTATGTGTAGATCGACCGGATACGCATTATTCACCGTGTCGTCCGTGTCACTATTTATTTTTAACTGGAAATGGCATATCTTTTTATATCAACATTCATTTTGATAACAGCATCATTCCAGAAGCCTAACATTGAGAGGAACCAGAGTGAAATTTTGATCCTCAGCCAATGCTGAAGGGTAAGGTGAGAGAAAGATTTTACTGAATTCTTTTCAGAAAGGAATTTCAAATGTATTGATGCATTATTCGTTTTCCATTATCCAGTGTGCACTTCCTGAGGACTTAGCATAGCAATTTCAAGTCCTTACTATTTGTTTGGCTGTCCATTTCTGCACAACAATGAAGCAAGTAAGGTTTATATAGCTCTAGCATTGACCCAGCTGTATTTTTCTCTTGCAAAGGCAGGTTTTTAAAATTGCGGGTTTTTTGCGGGTTCGGCCCAGCCAAAATCAGTTTGCGGGTAGTTGTGGTTGGGCAAGGGGTAGCTGCGGGGCGGGGCGGGTAATGAAATTGCAAATTTGGTGCATCTCTAGTTGCGAGTACTACGCCCAGTGGAAGGGGGGGGGCGGATGGCGCCCCCCCCCCTAAGATCTCAGCTCCCAGTGGAGCTAGGTAGACGAAATTTTGAGGGTAGGTGGGGGCCCTAGGGAACTATATTGTGTGTGAATTTTATGACCCTAGGCCAATATCTTCAAGGTCAAATGAGGTCAAATGTGGTCAAATCTGCCATATGAGCGACTTTTTTGCGTTTACACGCCGATAGCTCAAAAAGTTACCGCCCGATTTTCTTTTTTTCTTTCACTTTACGAAAGAACATACATTTGTGAGTACCTATGTATGGTGAATTTCTAGTTAATCAAACAATAAATATGGCAGTCAGAAGCCTGCTAAGGGTAAGATGTCGCCGGCTGAAGCGACGCGGGAAAAGCAGCAATCACAATTTTGTGTTTACACACTCATAACTCAAGTGTTTACCGGCTGATTTTCAAAATTCTTTGACCATAGGATTGCCTGTACATTTGTCAGTCTTCTCACCAAATTTGACGCGAATCGAATATAACTGGCGGTAAGGAGCGCGATGTAAAGACGGAACCGTCCCGCCCCGGTACAGTCTACAATTCAGGCGGCGCGTAACGGCTAGCGCCGGCCGCCGCGCCGCCGCGGCGGCAGGATGTTTGACTTTACACCGCTATTACTAGAAAAGTTGTGAAAAGATTTTCTTATTTCTTGCACGAAAAGATTTGCAATTTAATTCTGGACAGGTAGCTAAAATTTCACATTAATATTATGTTTGCGGCGCGAGTTATTGGCGAAAAACAGGAGGGGTGGGCGAAATCCGTCCCCCCTCCACTGCGCGTGTTAAGCATAAAATTAATCAGTGCATTCGATGGCGGCCATTTTATGGCAATTAGAATACATTTTTATTGTCAAAAATGGCTCAGAAGTACACTTAATTCTCAGCCCCAGCTCTGTGCCGAATATTGATGTGAAACGTGACTAAGATTCATCGTCTCACAAATACTTTTTTATTTGATTTAGCTAGAATCAGTAAACACCGGTGGAAAGCCCAATCAATTTACTTTCATTTCATCTATGCTTCATAGTCTTGGTTCCGGAAATATATGTTTTAAATTGCAATAGATATATTGCTCGCTGTAGTCACGGAATAAATTTACTTGCTTAAATTATTCTAGAGCTACAAAAATAGGTATCAAAACGTAGGTCCCAAAAATTGCCAGCAGCTTTCCCATGGCCTTAAGCAAGTTTCCTAAAAATTTCAGCTGTGTCCACTTGCGACCCCGAGAGTTAGGGTAGCCTGGGGCAAGACGCCCCAGATAATTTATTTTGCTACATAACTTTTGTCCCACATAACCTGGAAGGCCAAATTTGTGCTCAATGCGTTCTTTGGACATTTTACTTTAAATTCCACCCCTCAAATTCATTCACTTATGATCGGACTCCCAGCTAGGAAGTGGTTTGTGAAGCAACTGCAAATAGGGCGTTTTGCCCCAACCCCAGGGCAAAACGCCCCACGGCCTGGGGCAAGAAGCCCCATACTCTAGATTAAAGATTAAAAATGCTAGTTGACTAAATCTTATCTGAAAGGTCCGTTAGACCTTGGGAGGCATGGCACTAAAGTTAGCACCTTCCATCCTATCAGGTGTTCAGCTACGACACTATTGTATGAGCAGGTTTTTCACCTGCCTCATAAGGCCAAATAATAAATTATTGCAATGCAAATGTTAACAAAATACTTCCTTTGCTATCCAGTTGCTGAGAAAAGTATATATAAATGCATAGAAACATACCGTTCGCCAGCTACCGAACATTAGGAAGTGGGTAGTCCGAACAACACATGAGGTAAAACGCCCCATGGGGCTTTTTGCCCCGCGACCTACTGGGGCGTTTTACCCCATCACGTAGTTCGGTCAGAGAACAACGCCTTGCACTCCAGGAAGACATAATTTAACACGAACCAACCCGGCATTATAAGCGTTAGACAATCGTTGTTCAAAATACATAAAAGTCGTTAACCTGATGTGGACGATAAAAGAACGCCATGATGCATAATCTGACAACAAAACATAAAAATCACACCAAAAACACATTTTTTTGGCTATATCTCCCTAAAGAGTCATCACAATTTATTTCCAGTCTGCTCATATAATGATCGTATAGTGCACGTTTTATAGAAGAGAGGATGTTTCCCCAGAACCTTGCCAGTTCCGAGAAACATCGCTGAGGCGTTTTACCTCGGCGGGGCGACTTGCCCCGGTCTACCCTACAGCAATTTTTGTTCTGACATGTTCCGCGCTTGGTTACCCCCGGCCGGCCAGCCGCCGACGCGGCGGCCGGCCACCTCCTTTGTTTCCGCCCCTGGTGAAGCTATCGCGTCGCGAAAAAAAAAAACGAGCGTGTGCGCCGTTACGAGACGTAGATATTGATGCCCGATTTTAAGGTCCTAGGTTAACTGGTGACCTCCGAGGTCAGGTCAAGTGCCCCAGGGTACTGTTCCGTTTTTGGTGAATAACTACGCAAAAAACGGTCGCAGAGACGCGATTTTGGCAGCATCGTGTTCGCCTCGCTCAGGAACGTCGAATGATATACCCTTTTGTTTGGGTGAGGTCAACTTAGGGTGTTGACCTCGGGTCACGGTCAGGTCAGCGCCCCCAGGTCACGACATTGGTCGAAGAAGTTCATGTCGCATATCATCCGATTCGGCAGGTCTTCTTGAATCCATTGGTGGCTTTCCCGACTCGCTAGCTAATTTGATCGGGAGTTATTAACGAAAAACTAATATGACCCTAATGACGTCATAAATGACGTCATGCGACGCCACGCGAGGTCAACATTGCAAAATTGACGGATCGAACCTTGCAAGGAGTGCATGAAATCACGATTCTGTGTGCTTGGGATAGTTGGAGATCGTTCCCGGCGCCAGAATAGCAGTTTCCATTTTTCCCCATTGATAATGTTGAGGTCAGTGGTCACGAAAATGACCTGACTTTATATGACCTGACCTGACTTCATATTTAGGAAAAATCCGAGATATACAAGTTGTGAGACTCCTTAATCCTTATGGATACTAGGTCCTGCAAGTTTCATTTCTATGTTTAAGTTCCTCTGGCAGTGAGGGCGTTGCGAAATTGCGACATCTGAAGACCGTGCAGAGGTTCACTTATGAAGTCATAGGTCAGTGAACTGACCTGACCCGAAAATGCGTTTGGTTTCACAAGAGCCGGCTTGAATCGAAGGTCAGGTATGCCAATTTTCAGCTCTCTATCTCCGGCGTGTTCAGAGCTATCGCGCATAATGTCTAATGCGCATTATGTGTCTAATACGCATTATAGTGTCAGGTCACCATGTGACCTAATATCAGGTCACACGGTGACCTGACGTTAAATATGACAAGCAATTTGAGATCAGCGCATAAAATAACCCCCTTAACCAAGGAATTATCTCATTTACCCTAAAACCAGAATTAATGGGCATTTTGAAAGCGACCTGAGCCAGAGTTGTCAGTTGGACGGCGGGGTCAGTTGGACGGCGGGGTCAGTTGGACAGCGGGGTCAGTTGGACGGCGGGGTCAGTTGGACGGCGGGGTCAGTTGGGCAGCGGGGTCAGTTGGGCAGCGGGGTCAGTTGGACAGCGGGGTCAGTTGGACGGCGGGGTCAGTTGGACGGCGGGGTCAGTTGGACAGCGGGGTCAGTTGGGCAGCGAGGTCAGTTGGACGGCGGGGTCAGTTGGGCAGCGGGGTCAGTTGGACGGCAGGGTCAGTTGGACGACGGGGTCAGTTGGGCAGCGGGGTCAGTTGGACGGCGGGGTCAGTTGGACGGCGGGGTCAGTTGGGCAGCGGGGTCAGTTGGACGGCAGGGTCAGTTGGACGGCGGGGTCAGTTGGGCAGCGGGGTCAGTTGGACGGCGGGGTCAGTTGGACGGCGGAGTCAGTTGGACAGCGGGGTCAGTTGGGCAGCGGGGTCAGTTGGACGGCGGGGTCAGTTGGACGGCGGGGTCAGTTGGACAGCGGGGTCACTCGGACAGGTCAAACGATGCGCCGCCCGCCGGCCTACCTGTATAATGCGCAGCAGCAGCGTGCTGTTGATGTGGTCGTACTCCAGGCTAAACTGAATCTGTCCAATGTTCTCTGAGGGCTCCGAGTTGTCTATGTACATGTCCAGTAGCGACACTGACCGATTCTGCCAAAATGCGGCCTGAAAGGCGAAAGCAGGAAGTTTCAAATGCCGACAAACTGTGCTCCATACACGCGGGAGCATTTGACCATTCCAGATTGTTTGTTTCAGGTTGCAGAGATTTGTTCGACATTCGAGAAGACTTGTTTGACGTTCGCACATCCATATTGAAGCACGATCAGAAACAACTCTGGCTGGAAGCTGATAATTAGCTACCAATACACCTTTTTGCGTTAGCTTTTGACCATTGGACAAAACATTTGTACACATTCCCCAATCCCCATATAGGTGGCGCTTCAAATGGGCGGCTGGTCACAAGGAATCACCATTGTGCAAACTGTTCGGCGGTCTTCCTCTACAACTTGACATTGGATTTATATCATTGTGCAAAACAAATCGTCAATGGTCGAAATTATTCGTCATATGCCAAGCTGGCTCACTCAACGGCGAGGTCTGGCGAAGTGTCAAACTGCTTTGCAGACCGTTCATTTCAGTGTTCAATCTGTTTTGCTGAATGACTGAAATGAAACACACAACGACGGGATAGTTGTGCTTAACCCGCGCCCCAGTGGCGGTCTCAGCCAACTTCGCCCTAGTGGGGGGGGGGGGGGGCATATGTTACCACCCACCTCTAACTAAAAAACTAAGAGGGCTAGAAAGACGCAGTAAAAAGCAGTCGATAGCTCTCAATGCGTACGTTTGAAAGTATTTCGGTCATTTTTTACCTTAGATAGAGCAATATTGGGGTCACCAGAGGTCATCAAAGGTCAAAATTCGCCAATTGTCATTATATTTTTTTCAGAAAACATGCCGCTATCTCAGGAACTATGGTAGCTAGAAAAACACATGGAAGAGCAATCGATAGCTTTTGAACTCTTCTTTTGAAAAGGTCATTATCAATATTGACCTCAGGTCAACGGTTTAGCCTCCAGAGGGCAAAACCTCCAAAAATAGCTGTTTTTACGAAGTGTTTTTCGACAATAACTTTCGACTACAAAAAGCCACGACAGTTCTATTGCCAGAATCGTGTTCCCCTCGCCGAGACGCGTCGAATGAACTATAATATGACCTTGAAAGGTCAACTTGAAAATTTGACCTCAGGTCAAGGTCATGACCTGACCCGAAAAGGTCATGTTGCATATCAGTCGATGCGTCTCAACAAGACAAACACAATGACACCATCCCCAGCGTTCTATCTCTTTCCAATCGCGAGTTATTGGCAAAAAACTGTTTGTAGCCTCAAATGACCTCGGATGACCTTTCTAGAGGCTATCAGAAAAAAATGATACCTTGGTCATCACGAGTGGACTAAATCATTGTGATTCTGAAATATTTGGACTGTTCCTATGCGTACACACGGATCTAGAGGCATTTTCATTTTTCTCCATTGACTTGTAATGGAAAGGTCACGACACTGACCTGACCTTAGGTCACGGATATAAAAAATCCGAGATATGCAAATTGTAGGTGCCCATAACACCATGCAATCCACCAAGTTTAATACCTTTCTGACAAACACTGCAGGCTGGACATGATTGCAAACTTTTTTTTAGGCTTGGTCAGTTAACTTGACCTGGTGACCTGACCTGACATGGCCTGGGGTCAAAAATTTCACACGTTGTCCAAAATTGATGTACTAAAAGCTACCCCAAGCGGCGCGGCGCTACGCGCCGCGGTTTTTTATTCATACGCAAAAAACGCGACAGGGTGGTAACATATGCCCCCCCCCCCCCACACTGGGGCGAAGGTTAATGGTAATTGTCAAAATGGTTCCGAAACAGTTATGGCGAATGGTTGAATTTAAATGCAAAAAGGTTTATTAACCCAGCAGTTCCTGGGGCATTTTGCCATCAACAACTTCTTGGGAGGGGGGGGGGGGGCGTTAAACGGCAAACGTCCCCAGCCAATAACTCGAGAACAATAAGTGCAGCAAAACGCGCGAGGCGGCAAACGAAATAGCACCACGAGACGCTTCGGATGGGGGATTTATAGAGATGTCAATCGGACACCAACTTTTGATATACCGATACCAAGCCGATACCGACTTGGTATTTTGTATTTCAATCCTAATGTGTTTGGTATTTTGTTGTTATCATGGATCCTCGCTAATCTATAGGGGGCTGTGAATTCGGTAAAAAGTCGGTATTTCCATCATATTTCCTAGTTGGTTCTGTTTCGGCATTTTCCACGGTTTTAGTTGGTACTAGGGTGACCCGCGTGCTCCGCAACGCGAAAAGGGGTATTTACGATCGGCGGGTGTTTGGTTTTCTTGTGTCGGTTGCGTTATCTATCTATTTCGGTCGATTGCTTTTTGATGGCTAAACGATTTGGTTTGGAAAGAATATCCATCGCATCAAGGTGCCCGTGTCTGATAATCATCTATATTACTATTTGTGGTGACGTAGTTTTTGTCTGTTACCGAGGTTGCGACATGGTGCTACGTAGCGCGGGTTACAGGTCACACCGTTGCACATACCGCGCTGAAGTTTACGCAACTCATAGAACAAGGATGGACAACGTGCCTTTGAGGGGTCTCAGCTCGATCGGATCGATAGCCAGCGCGTGGCGCGTGTCCGAAAAGTGCAAATTCGCGTCCTAGACTTTACATGTATAAATCGCCTGGCAAAAACGGGCGAAAATGGCTAAATTTGCCCGACACGGGTCCGGTCCCCGTGCAATACCTCGGTAACCGTGGGTCCGATCGGCACGGGGGAAAAAGCATTGTGTAGAGAATCGAACGGGCTATCGATTGGTGTGCGGTGCAGGGGATGGCACGCGCCACGTGCACCCGTGAGGGCGCTTTTGTTTGAAAAATTGACGTTTCGGACGGATTTTGGATTTTATTTTATTTTTACGTGACCGTCAGACTGAGAGAGTTAAAACAATGCCTATTGGCAAGGGAAATGTAGCGCCTCTCACGGAAAAATTGTGAAAAGCTAATTGATTAAAAACAAGGTGGAAAAAGTCGCTGGAGAAAATGGTATTTGTCCATAATGTGCCACTAAATAATTACACGGGATTTGCTGCTTAACCTGATACGTTTGGCAATTGAAAATGCTATCATTGGAAAGAGCATTCAATTCTCTCCAAGATCCAATCATCACGTTTGCATGACAAGCAACAGTATTCTTAAAAATAGAAATGTTTCAAACCTCTGCAAAACTATTTTTAGCGAAAATTATCTACGCCTGCCATTTGTCATAAAACTACGCACCTAAATTATAAAACACATTTGACAGGTTTTAAAGTAGAAAGCATGCTTATCAGACTCGGGCACCTCGATGCGATGGATATTCTTTCCAAACCAAATCATTTAGCCATCAAAAAGCAATCGACTGAAATGGATAGCTAACCCAACCGACACAAGAAAACCAAACACCCGCCGATCGTAAATATCCCTTTTCGCGTTGCGGAGCACGCGGGTCACCCTAGCGCTTCCTACTACAGAACCTGTCAATAGAATTCAGCGAACCTGTCAAATGTGTTTTATAATTTAGGTGCGTAATTTTATGACAAATGAAAGGGCGGAGATAATTTTCGCTAAAAATGGCTTTGCAGAGGTTTGAAACATTTATATTTTTAAAAATACTATTGCTTGTCATGCAAACGTGATGATTGAATCTTGGAGAGAATTGAATGCTCTTTCTAATGATAGCATTTTCAATTGTCAAACGTATCAGGTTAAGCAGCAAATCCCGTGTTATTATTTAAAGGCACCATATGAACAAATACTATTTTCTCCAGCGATTTGTTCCACCTTGTTTTTGATCAATTAGCTTTTCACAATTTTTCCATGAGAGGCGGTACATTTCCCTTGCCAATAGGCGTTGTTTTAACTCGACTGACGGTCACCTGAAAATAAAATAAAATCCAAAATCCATTTAAAACGGCACTTTTTTAAATGAAATTGCCCTCACATGTGCACGTGGCACGTGGCATCCACTGCACCGCACACCACTCGATAGCCCGTTCGATTCTCTACACGATGTCGTTTTCTCCGTGACGATCTGGCGCACGGTTACCGAGATGTTGCACGGGAACCGGACCCGTGTCGGGCAAATTTAGCCATTTTTCCCGATTTTGCAAGCCGATTAATACATGTAAAGTCTATGACGCGAATTTGCACTTTTTGGGCACCCGCCACGCGCTCGCTATCGATCCGAGCGAGCTGAGACCCCTCAAAGGCACGTTGTCCATCCTTGTTCTATAACTTGCGCAAATTTCAGCGCGTTAGGTGCAACGGTGTGAACTGTACTCCCGCGCTACGTAGCACCATGTCGCGACCTCGGTAACAGACAGAGACTACGTCAATACATTCCTGCCCGGGGCTGGGAAAATTTAATTGTGTCACCGAGGTTTTTAATTGAAAGTACCGAGGGCCGGTAGGCCCGAGGTACTTTCGATTAAAATACGAGGTGACACAATTAAATTTTCGCAGCTCAGGGCAGGAAGCTATTTCCCATACATGCGTACCATCATAGGGAGCGTTGCAAATATTATGGAGGAACCAAAACGCCCCAACTTCAACCTTGTTGAGTCTTTCGTGGCTATGGTTTGTTGCAAATTAGTGTCAAAGTTTAAGTTTTATATGGTAATGTTTCACTTTATTCATGACAAATACTACAATCCTTGCATCAAACACAATGTACCTAGGTAGGTACCTATATCATAAGCCAATCGAATAAAATGGACGATAGATAAAATGAAGTTATAAGGAGCAAAGTGATGCTCTTCAACTTTATGATGTGACGTCATTCATAATGACGTCATATATTTGAGAGGTGCAGGAAAACGTCGAGGGGTGCAGGAAAACGTCGAGAGGTGCAGGAATATATATTACTGACCGGGCCGACGAAATTATTTGGAAACGAGGTTTGCAAAATTGACGTAGGCCCGAGTGCGAAGCACAAGGGCCGGAGTCAAATTTTGCAAGCCGAGTTTCCAAATAATTTCGTACGGCTGAGGTCAGTAAGATTTTTCCTACATGCCGCATACCTGCTAAGTAGTTTCGACAGGTTTTG